GGGCAGCGGTGGCTCAAGCCCAGTATCTTCAGTGTCCAGGTCTAGATCATCATCCTGGGTCAGGATGTCGTCATCCTCATCCCCGTCCTCGTCTTCGCCGGGGGGAGGAAGCACATGTCCACCAAAGTCAACATCACAGATGCGGACCTTGTAGTCTAGCGCCTTCTGGCCCTCTTTGATGAGAATCTCAGTCCAGTTAAGACATCGCTTGATACTTTGGTTGATCTTTTGGCTGTCGACGAGCAGTTCGCGATGCTTCGACAGATCAAGCTGAAGGCGGCGCTCATCTCGTCGTCGACGGGCAGCCGCCTTTTCCAGAGTCTTCTCATCATTGGGGTCCAGAGCGTCCGAGGCTGATACTGAATCAGTCATGGAAATATCAGAGTCGTCCAATGAATCGTGCTCCTCGTCCTCAGACGGGGGTGCTGAGTCCTCTTCGCTGAGATCAGCAAGGGCAAGGCTGGCAGGGGGTTCCACCAAAACTTCAGATGGGACTCGGCTAGGGGCAGCTGAAGGAGCGGCAGAAAGATGACCAGCTCTCGACAATCGCTTATATCTGCGAATCTCGGCGGTTTGCTTTCGGAGCTGCCTCTCCAGGGTTCGGTTGATGGCTTCAAGCGAGGCATTGGTGATCTCCAAGTCCTGAACCTTGCGTTCTCTCCGCGCGTTGGCCACTAGCTCGTTCACGGGATCAGAAGAATTGGTCGACTTAGTTGGGCTCTGAACTTCAGGCTGCGATCCCTCTTCATCCTGCTCCTCCTCTTCATCGGCAAGTTCCTCGGCCACCTGAAGAATCGATGCCATGGTCAGGGCTGGCTGACTTGAGCCAGGGCTCCTCGGAGGCGACGCAGGCTCTGAGTGCAGCCGAGGCGGAGACATGGGCATCCTAGGCGAATGAGAGGGGTCAAAGTTGGGGACACTCCCTGTCCTTGCATGGCCGCGGAGTTTCCTGGGTGCTCCTTCAATGCTGACTCTTCTCTTGGGATTAACGGTTGCAGCGGGAGCTAGAGATGTTGGTGATGTTATGTTGTTTGCCGAGGCTAATTGGGGCCTGCTGTTGAGACCAGGTGTGCCAGTATTTTTAAGGATCGAGGGGCTGGGCTGGGCAATCTTGATAGGTGAGTGTGGTCTCGGAGGCAGGGCGTATGTGTGGCTCGAGTGTCCAGATGCAGAGTTGCCTGTGCTGGGTCGTCCAGATTGGAGTCTAGAAGTAGATGAGTTCGTCGACGAAGGTCCCGAGTTCTGACCACTGGGCTTGAGGTCAGGTGCACCATTGGCATAAAAGAACTTTGAGGATGTCGGTTCGGGCGTGCTGCTAAGAATTGGTGTAAATGGCGATGTGACGGGAGGGCTCATGGTCCTCTTGGACTCGGCGTTGCTGCCACTGGCGTATGAAAAGGTGGACGAGTGCCTGTGTGTACCGGTCGAGGGTCGACTGGACGACTGTGAAGGTCCTTGGACATCACTGGCACGGAAAAATTTCGAGTCGGGGTCAGCGGGAGAATCAGATCGTGTCAACGATGGTCTTCCTGACGACGATGTCAAGGAAGCTCGAGGATCCCATCCATCTCGATCTGGGTTCGGGGTGCCGTTCGGAGTAGTATGGTTGCTCTCGGCGGCACGGCTTGAACGACTGCCGGACCGGGGTGTTACGCTGCTTGTTAGGTAGACCGAGGGCGAGGCGGTGTCGTCTCGATAAGGGAGCCCGGAGGGCAAGCCCTGAGTCAATCTCCGGGCCAGAGGTGCAGCAATCGCAGGACCCTTTGCACTGGAAGCAATCTTGGGCGTCAGGGGCGTGCGGCCGACATTCTTTGCAGCTGCTGCACTCAGCTGCGGGGGCCGGGGCCTCGAGTCACCACCAGGGGGCATCTTGGGCGTAACGGAACTCGACGGAGTAGAGCGAGTCGAGGATTTTGTGGCGGTTAGGGCGAGGACATGTTGCTTCGGGCCGTGGTAGCTAATGGTGGTTGCTGTGGAAGAACGGGCGACCGAGGTTGTGGAAGAGGCGGAGGACTGAAATCGAGGGCGAGCCTGAGCCGGAAGCTGCTTGTTGGTCGTAGGAGTCCTAGGCAGCGGCTTGGACGAGGTGACGAGCTTGTTCGCGGATGCCGAGGTAGCTATAGGGACGGGCTTGGCTGAGCGGCGAGCGGCGAGGCCGGTGGTGGAGGTTCGCGAGGAGGAGTCGAAGGAGGAGTTGATGTTGTTGAGGGTGCGCATTCTGACAGAGACGGTGTCTGGCTGGAGTCGGGGGAGTCTCGACTGCAGCAGACCAGACAGAGACGGATGAGTGGGTGGGTGACGGGCAGTCGGGCAGTGATGGATGGATGGCGCTAAATCGTTACTGGCTGCCCGGCATGGCTCGGGCGGCACCAAATTTTAGGTTAAGGGGGGCCACCGCTGGAGGGTCAAAGCCACAGGGAGCTTGAAGCGCTGAAGCACAGTGGACTCTGCTAAACACCCAGTGGACACCTCCGAGTAAACAAAAACTGACACACACCCGTTCTCTCGACGAGAAAAAGCTGTGTGAAAGCGGGGGTAACGGTAATCAATATGAGTCGGGCTGGTAGGTGGCTTGGGTATCGATGGATTCTTTCTTGCTGCAGGCGAGAGGGGAAAAGAGAGGAGAAATTCTGCACTATCAGGAGTGCCTTTTGATGAGTCGCATACGGAGCACAGCAAAGACGAAATGAAGCCAAGACGTAGATGTCGTAACAAATCAACCACAAAAAAACAAAAACAATAAGCGTCACGAGTTCTTGGTGTCAGAGAGGAGGCGAGAAAGGAGGAGAGTGAGGAAGGAGAAGGAATCGGTCAATCACGAAAAGCGGACGGGAGGGAATACAGGTATGCGAGAGGAAGAAGCGGGCAAGAGAGTGAATGGATGGATCATGGCATGGGCGTACCCTTGCTCTCGTCGACACGGAGCGGACGGCCTCGCCCAGGCCTCGTCTCTCTACCGCTTTTCTTTTTGGCCTCCTCTGTACACAAGGTCAAGGCCATGTTTCCTGATCATGGGTGTTTCTCCCCAGCTGCAGAGTCCAGAAAAGCACAGGCATCTGATTGTTGTGTTTTGGAATTGACCCGTATGAGTGGTGCTGGTTAGGTCGTCTTGGAACATGCCAAACACCACCAGCTCCTGTGGATCAGATCAGACAGATCCCCACGATGGAAGAGATGGAAAATGTTACAGAACATGTTTGTTTATTTTGACACTCACATCTCCGACGCGGACTCTCCTCTAGTTCGGAAACCCATTGCGTCCATCATTAATAGCCAATTCCCTTTCCTACACCTTCAATGCTCACCATGACCCCCGAGCCCGCCCATCGTCATCCTGGCTTGATTACATCTTCATGCCAGCCCCCAACCCACAGTCCAGTTAGTGCCCCATGCGGTCTCGTCTTCTCCGCCTCGCCGTCCAGTCTCCCTAGAACCCATGCCAAAAAGACGGACACACCCTAGTCCAGTTCCGAAGAGACAAAAACACGGGCACCAGAACAACTGCTTGGGTCCCCCCTAGTTGATCGCCGCGTGTGTGGCATGACACGGGCAACGCCACAAACAGAACAACAGAAGCAACAGCCGGCGGGGTCGAGGTCCCGAATGGCCGGAGAGGCAGTATTACGTAGTATTATAAAATGAGTAAAAAGAAAGACAAGAATCCCTTCAATTAAACAATAGAGGTCCAGCCCAGCAACCTTGCCAGAACCAAAAATACTCCAAAACTCCCCAATTGGGCGGACAGCAAAACACATGCAAAGCACCACCCATGATGTGCTCGCAGGAAGCTCGCTCACTTGCCTTAGGCACGCGCACAAAATGCAGAGTCCGAAAAATATCCATGCTGACCAATCACGTTCCCTTGTTTGGCAAGGCAAGGCTTCGCTTCAGCTGCTTTGTCCATCCTCGCTCTCTCTGCTTTTTCCTTGTCCCGCTGACAGAAAAAACCTGGCACTTTTCTTCTTTGGTGGCTCGATGATTCTGCAATAACCTGTCCACAACCCACCTCCCCTCCCTCTCCCTCCCGTTCGCCAGGGCTCTCCCATAGCCCCTTCGCCTATCGATTTTCCTTCTCTTTCCCAGCGACCCGAGGTCCCTAAGCTCTCGGGAAGGAAAGGAAATCTCTGTTTCACTGCTCAGTCAGATTCGCGGTGTCTTCGTGTCGTCATGGGCGTCATAGGGATATCGCTGATTGTCGCCTCGGTCGTCTGGGTCCTCGTGCGACCGCCGTCATGGATCCCTTCGCCCTTGCAGATCCTCCTGCGATGGAGAGGCAGCCCTCCTGCCACTATCACGGACAGCAAGACCGATCCCTCGACGGCCGATGCTGACTCTGGCTCTGATATGGGGCCTAGCGCAAGCCCTGGGCCCCGTGTCCTGGTGTCGTTGGATCACGAGGTGGAACCGGTCCTCCGCACCCGGACTGATCCGGCCGACAAGCCTGTCGACCGTACCACTCGAGCTTCTTCGTCCGACCCTGACCGCCTCCACCAGCCTCTCGGTCAGGGCCTCGTCGCCAGTTCCTCACAGCAGTCGAAGCCCGCCAAGCATGATACCGCTTCTATGCCTCCACCCCCACTGCCAAAGATCGTCCCGCAACCTCCTCCTCCAACCATCGCTGAGCCTGATGAGCAAACCACTCCCAAGGCTACTGCCGTCTCTGATCCTCCATCCCTTCCCGTACCCACCTTTTCACTCGACAATGCTCCCCCGGCGCCTAGCTCCCACCCCGCTCCGCCCCGGAACCCCACCGTTCGCGGCCCCGCCCCCTCCATCGCCGCTCCGTCCTTGGGCCCGTCCATGATGCCACCTCCTCCGCGTCCAGGACGACTTCCTCCCATGCCATCCTCTGCAACGCCCATCAGCCGCCTCTCTCCCTCAACTTCATCCTCCGGCCGCCTTCCGTCTCTCGCCCAGTTTCCTGCCCCGAACTCGGCCCAACGTGCTCGAGGACCGGCTCCTAACCGCGGTCCTTCCTCCTCCGGCCTCGCCCCACCACCAACTCACTCCTCCAAGCCTTCCAAGCCCAGCCGAAAGGTCCTTCTCACGCCTGGCCACTCTCCTCTGGACTGGGCTCGCATCTCTGGCCCCAACTCTGACCTCCGCGGCGTTGACCCCTCAACTCCCTATCTTCGTGTCACGCCCTCTATGTTGAAGGTCAAGACCGGTCGTAAAGGCAAGGACGCCTGGATGGCCCTCAACGGCAAGGTCTACAACATTACGCCCTACGCCGACTACCATCCTGGTGGTGTCCCGGAGCTGTTGCGTGGTGCTGGCCGTGATGGCACCAAGTTGTTTGGTGAGATTCACCCCTGGGTCAACTACGAGACAATGCTGTCTGCTTGTCTTGTCGGATTGCTCGTCGAGGAATCCGAAGGTGTCGAAAGCCAGATGGATGGCATGGATTAGATTTACTTACAGCATGCGTTTACACAAGCGACTTGACGAACACAGACTCGAGGGTACCCATGGATCACGGTGGTAGTTCATCTTGGAATACCGTAAACCATCTTGGAATACCGTAAACCATCCTTGTTGCGCCATAGCTGCCCACCCCTTAGAACACATAGATGTACACTAGCTAGAGAGATACCCCTGCTGCATAGAGAACGACATGATATTTTACCGCCTCTTTCCGAACCTGAACTTGAGCTCATCGTCGCTGTCGTCACTATCGGCAATCTCGACAACCCTACTGCGAGTTGGCCGCACCCGCTTGGGAGGCTGCTGTCCCCCTGCTGGTGGCTCTGCCGCGGCCCGTTTGCTTCCCTGGCTTGTGACTCGGGACGACTGGCTCCTCGTGTTGCTCTGAGACTGTGATGCCGTGCCTCGGGTGCCACGAGTCCGTGTAGCGGGTATCGATGATTTCTGAGACACCCGTTCCTCCTCATCGCTACTATCCGAAACAACACCGACATGCCGTCTTTGCACAGGCCGCGCCGGTGCTGGTTCTGAAGGCTGAGACTCTGCCCCTGAAGGTTGGCTGGCGGGCCGCTTCCTCCTATCGTTCTCCTCGTCCTCCAACCAGTAATCGTCGCCTACGCCAAACTCCTTGGTCTTGACCTCCACAAGGGGCACAATGACCCTCGCTGCTTGGCGGCCCGTCGCTTCTCCGCGTTGTCTGAACTTTTTAAAGTTCTTCATGCCGTTCCATTTTGGATCCCATCGGCCATCGCGGATGTCTTGCTCCCGAGTTCTGCCCTGACTAGGCTTTCGTACCTCCATCTCTTCCACGATGTTGAGTCGACGGATCTCAGAAAGATCAACATCATCAGGAAGATTAGCTAGGTCTTCCTTCTCAGCTCGAGCACGAGCCTCCTCCTTTTCTTTGTTCTGGGCGGCCATTGCTAGAATGTCAAACTCCTTCTTAATCTTCTTCTTGGGCGTCGGGGCAGGCGCTTCAGGTTCAGGCTCTGCCTCTTTGGCCCGAACACTCAAGTCTTCGCCCCGCTCTATCCTCTGGCGCTTGAACTTCTCTGCCGCGGTAGTCATGCCATCCATGAGATGATCCTCCGGTAGAGGAGAGCCGCGTCTTTTCCTCTGTGACCTTCGGGTAGTTCTTGGCTCCTCTGCTGGGGGAGGGGGAGGGTCGTCTGGCTCTTGAGATACGAACAATCCACCCTCTTCCTCTGCCGATGGCTGCACCGGCTGTTGCGCCGAAGGCTGATTTGTTGTTGGTGCCGAAGTAGTTGAAGGGGTTTCATCCATATCAATATCCGCGTCATCATCAAAACCTGCAAAGCGCCTCTTGACGGTCCTTCTAGTCCTTCCTCTCCTGGGGGCGGGTTGTGACTCCTCAGCTGATTGTGACGTTGGAGCCTGTGTATTTGCAGGCTGCGAACTGCCTGACGGCTCAGGTTGGGGTGCATTATGAGCGTGTTGAGGCTCTTGGGTATTTTGCGCTGACTCAACTTCGAGTGGCCGCCGGAGGATACTCGCGTCCTTGATGAGGATAGCTTCCAAGAATTCGCTTTGCTCAATAGGACGATGATCCAGTCTCAGAGATACAGACGTGAAGAAGTCGGCGTACCAGTTGACCAAGGACCCCTTTGAAGGCACAAATCGGACAACAACCACTCCTTTGCCCTCGCTGCCGTCATTAAAAGCACCGAGGCCTTTCTCTCCAGCGACACTCTTGACATATTGGACGAATTCGTCCACTTCAGTCTCCTCTGGCACGACATTGCCCAGCAATGCCTTGCCGCCTCCGTTTGTGATTGGCGCAAGTAGGTTGTTGTACTGCGACTGGTCATAGAAGATGAAAGTGTATCCCTCGAAAATGTCCTTTCTCTCGGGATCGGGAGCATAGGTCGAGTCCGGGTGCTGTACGGGCTCTCCACCTCTTGGAGGCAGATGTTGTAGTGCATCAGGCCAGTTCTGGGTAAAGTCCTGTTCCAGAGGGCTGAGATCAGTAATCTCTGCGCCCTCTGCCGGACTCCCAGCCTCGAAAACGGCATCCAGAAATGACTCGGTCACGATGTATTTGCCATTAATTAATGCCTGCAGTCCTTTGGCAGTATTCCGCTTCTTCGAAACGACATGTGTAGTGGATTGGGCGTATTCCGTCACGAGCTTGATATCAAGCTGCTCGAACCTGTCGCGGAGTGTCGTTAAAGGATCCGTCTGAAGTTCCTTGCTAGTAAAAGAAAAGGCGAAAACAACTGGCTCCCACGAGAGGCTACACCTGGTCAGCGAAGGCCATTGCGACGAGCGAAGGTGTAGTTACCTAAACTTGTGAGGACATTTGCCCATGGTGAACTCGGCCGTCGCCCCCTGCACAACCTTTTTCTTTCCCTTTATCTTTTCTCCATCAACGACTGTTCCTATCTTGGTCGCCAGATCCTCGATGGTGAGCGTCGATCGGCTGGTGGGATTGTGAGCTTGGCCATCTTCGACTGGGCTGACGGTGAGTGTCAAATGTTTTCGTGAGATGGTATTGTGGGATATGGCTAATTGGCCAGCTAGATTTCCATCGTTAGTTCGACTATGTTAGCGTCTCGGTGCGAGGATTCTCACGCTCTGCCGCCGTTCGGCCAAACAAGTATGTCTTTCCCGGTCGCAACCACAGCCTTCGGCCTACGGACAAGTCAGCGAAGCCAATCTCAGCGTCTCGGGAGCGCTATTCTCACCTTTAAAGGCCTCGGGGTTCTCCAGAATCCACATCTCCGGGCGTCAAGTGCGACGCGAGGTCGTCCGCAGTCACATAGGGGTGTGACGTGAGGTTAGAGGTCGCGAATCCTAGCGGGGACCTGGTGAGACGCGTCAATCATTGAGGTTCCGCGACGCCAGGTCACGTGGCTCCAACGAGCTGTCCCTCGGCCCCAGCAGGCAACCGTCACAATTCGGTGATGCAACAAGGGGCAGAGACAATCCTTTTGTCTTCTTTTCTTTTGGGTATATTCTCCGTGTGCGCGAATTTCTTCATCCGGTGCAAACCGGTGATGGAGACTATACCTATTCTGTGATTCTTCACACTCTGTAGAGCTCCAGACCCGAGTTTGTTGCCTCCGGTCCTCTCCACTACCGCATCTGATAAAGACTTGAGCCGCATGTTCGCTCCATATTCACCCGACGAGGCTCGGTCATCCCGCAAACTTGATAACAGATCGGATCATATTGGATCATTGATGATGACAAAGTGCAGCGTGATGTCATCTGGGAGCCCTACGCCGTGGGGTACTGGCCACGACCAACACCAAAAGCAAGGTCAGCAATAGCGATGATCCTTCTATCAACAGGGTCCTATCATGGTAAACGGTCACATGGATCGGTCCTCCAGGGTTTACAGGTTTCTTGGGTACATTCTGTGTATTGTTTCATCCCAGTCATCGGCTAGGCCACCAGAGCCACAACGTAATGCTAGAGTCCAAAGAACCTCGGGGGAGGCTCAACTACTCCGTACCCATCCCAACTGCGTACAATATCCTACAACAGAGCTCCAGCAGTCCCTCCAAATACACCAAAATCTCAAGCCGGATCAGTGCTGACCTTGCAATTTGAGCACCGAGCGTGCTGGCATGATATGCATTTCGCATGCAAAGACCAGCTCCATTGCGCTCCACACTGGCACTGGAAATGATGTATTAGTTGACAACTCCCGAGATGCCCGTGGTAAACTGACGCATGTCCAGTAGTAGGTTGGCTCGGCCATATTCGTTATTGTACTAAACCATCAATACTTGCACTGCAGAGTGCAGCCATGGGACTTCACTTACAAGTTCTTGTACTTTGTAGACGTTTTCTCTGGTAGATGTGCGCACGATATAATACTGTTATCTCCCATCATCCCTAGAAAGATACCGGCTATTTAACCTAATGCCGAAAGATGAGGCTCTGCTCGAGTGACCAGGCTCGGCACTCCCACAGCCTCAGACCCGAGTTGGTGTCGCTGGGGACCCTCCGCATTCCCGACCACCACCAAGGCACGGCGAAACTTTACTTTTTAGGTACCATGATTGACTAACGTGAAAAGGTCGAAGCCAACCAAGATTGGAGATGTCATGCCCTGCAAGGTTATCGAGGCAACTGACCAGTTAAGGGGGGCATCGGTCTTCACTCTAAGCATTATCAGTTGCAGGGTGATTTATTCGCCCCCAATCTTTCACCGATGAGTCGACTCTTTGCCGCTGGGTACCGAGCTAGCAGAGCCTCATCACGGAGACCATGTTTCGTGTGGGCCGGGAGCAACCCTTGGTAGATTTTGTCAGCGGTAACAAATCCCCTCACTCAAGAAACAATCAGGCCACTTGTAGCATGGGGGATCTATTCAGACATAATCGCGGTTACACATACTCTCTGAACACGGCGGTGAAACCCAGGACTGGGGTACAAGATGCTAATCTGTAAGGCTGATGGGGGTCGAGTAGATACTGGGGATGGGTGTTACAGCAAGCCGCCGCTACCACACTGTTCCTCTCTCCTGTGTGAGCCAGTTGGATTCAAGTGTCCACCAAGCATGAGTGGCCCCCCTTTAATTCATGTCGGTCAAGTGGTAGGCGTAGGCGTAACTTCGCAATCCGAGCATTGAACATGATTGCATGATGTGCAGTCAACTGAGATGGAAATATTCCAGTTCCGAAAACACCAGTGCTGCATCGATTAATGTCAGTACGTCATCGTCAAGGTTGAAGCATGTAGACTCACGCATTTCCACGTCCACGTCACACCAGGCATGTTGAGAAGCCGTTGTTGTGTAACTATCCGTGAAGAATTTAACGGGCAGATAATCCAGGTGTGGTTGGGCAGTGTATGCAACAGGTACGTCAAAGATAGATTTAAATGAGTCAACGGGAAACGACGTCAGGTGCACTGCTTTTATTCCTCCGTATTAGACGCCATGTTGCAACGGCTGCAGCTTTTCGACCACTCAGACGTGTCCATTGCCTTCATTTCAACCTTCCTTCTCAAAGTGCAAATGATTGTGACAGGGATTGGTGAGGATTGGATTGAGGCCTCCCAAGTTGTGCGGGGTTGGCCGAGCATGACTCTATTCCCATGTCAAGGAATAGTTGATGATAAGACTCCTGAAGCTCAAAGTGAGGCCTACACCGACTTTTAGAAACAAACTTTTAGTATATTGTGGTTGTATATTCTGCTGTATATGGTATTATTAAATTCGAGATCTTTCGCCAGGTGCTCCCTCCATTCGTGACCCCTCCATCATTCACGTTCATTGCAACCGTGAACGCCCCCAAAAGCAATTAGTCGACTTGGACACCACTCGGGGGTCATGTGCGTATGAACGTGACGTAGTACTGTCAAGGAGTATGCAGCGGGGGGTAGAACGATGTCCTCCAGGGGGCAACCTGACGTCTCAGATCCAGCCAGACTTATAGCACTCTGCGAGCATCCTCTTCCGGCCAGCCCTCTTGCTCTTAATGCTGACTGCCTCACTATTCTGCGTCCGGACACGATCGATGTCCTCAGGATCTTGATTTGTGACGCGGGCAATCTCTTCAATCTCTGCAATCTTCCATCCTCGCAGGACAAACAGGCAGAGGCCGGCCGCAACGTACATGAAGCCGACGAAAACTTGAGCGCCGATGTACTTTCCTGTCCCTGTGACAATCTCGAGCGCCATCGGCTCACTGAAAGTGCAAGGCAGGACGATGACAAGCCACATGAGGTTAAGCGCCGTAGGTACGTCAGCCAGACCAACAACCTCAGCAGTGACAGGGGCTACTGTCGCCCAAAAGGTTCCTCCCACCGCTCCGCCCACGATTGTGAAGAAGAGCAAGACGCCATACGACTTGGAATTGATCCAGAGGACAAACACGAGAATGGCGGCCATAAATGTAGTGACACAGGCCATGTTGATGCGTCCCGTCCGGTCACTAAAGTATCCGATAAAGGGTCGACCCACAGCTTGCCCCAAGTTGAAGATGGCGCTGACCATGGCAGCTTCAGAAGGACCGAGGCCGATAAAGTTGGCGTAGTTGGCAAGACTGAAGATGAGAACGACGTATCCGAGCATACTAAACCATCCGTAACCGAGAAGCAGGATATACTCGGGGCGCTTGAAAAGTTGAATGTCGAAGGGAGCCTGGCGGGAGCCAATGATCTTGTTACGATCCTTGACAAGCAGTGTGCAGATGATGTTGACCACAAAAACCAGGATTCCTAGGATCCTATATGCCCATTTGAGACCCATATTCTCAATGATGGCACCCGATGCTAATGAGTAAAGAAGGCCGCCGAGTCCAGATCCGGCTGCGCTGAAGCCATTGGCTAGGGACCGACGGGTAGTGAACCATTGGGGGACGATGCCGACACTTGGAACAAAGAGAAAGCCCATTCCTAGGCCAAAGAGAACGCCTTGGGTGAGGAAAAGGTGCCAGATCTTATATGCAAAGCTAGCACATATCAAGCTGGTAGTTTCTAGAACAACTCCTAATAACAGGGTAGGCTTCGTGCCGATTTCGCGGACGAGGACGGTGGCGATAGGGGAGATGAGCAAGGCGCAACTGATGCTTAGAGAACCAACAAAGGCGTAATCCAAAGACGAGGAACCGGGGAAAGTGTCGTTGGCGAGATAATGGGCGAGGAACACTCCGTAACTGGAATTGAGACCCCATGTATGGGCATTGATTGTCGCAACACAGGCCGTACAGACCCAACCGTATCCTCCATTGGGCGGAGGAGGAGGGCCGTCATTTCGAGGTGGGAACATGTCGCCATTCTCCTTATCCTGGACCGAGCGGCGATCCTCCGTTTGATGAATTGAAGTAATGGCGTCAACATCTGCTGTGGTGGAAGTGTCTTGGCTCTGTCGGTCAGAGCCCCTCTCCGGATCCGGGACCTGCGAGTTCCTCTTTTCGTCCATGACTTGAAGTTTCTCAAAACCAATTGAACAACTTCAAGACCGAGTAGGTAAATTGAGGGCGAAAAGGTCACCGAGAGAGGCGACGAGAGGACTCGAGGATGAAGGAGGATGGAGGAGTCAGGACAAAATTTGCCAGATGGAAAGGGTTGTACTTATGACCCATCCAAAGGCGGGCCGGGGGGAAACACCCAAGGATGGGGGACGGGACCCATCCATCCATTTCTGATATCCGGAGTCAGAGATGGACCCCCCGAGACCCCAGCTTCTTGGTCATCGGGGAACGGCGAGGGCCACTTTTGCCGGTCACGATCCAGTCGTAGGGCAGCATTCGCGCATCTGTGATCCCGACAACCGGAAATGGCGTCCGGGGATAGAACGGAGGCATCTTGGATCATCGATTTTGGGCTCGGTTGGCGTCGCGTCGCAGGAGGGCGCAATGCCGCCAACTCTTGGCTTTTGCCTTTAGCATCGTGTTGCCGAGGTGAAGAATGCGGGGGGAAGAGGAGACCGTCATAATCCATCAATCTGTTGGATCTTGGAGAGTTGAAGTTGCTGATCTGCCGTTTCGTCTGTGGAACGCGAACCGAAAGAAACCGAGTCAAGTCTTGTTCCCACGTGGAAGGAACACGGCAGGCTCTGTCTCGAACGCCTGCAACGTGGACTGGCTTGCCCTGGCGCAAGCTTATTAATTTAAACTGGCGGCTGTGGGTGAGATGAGATGAGACCAAACCAGTTCACGGATCGGATATGTTCCATTTGGTAAGCTTCCGCTTCCGCGTCCGCGGGGATAAAGCGGGGGGTTGCAGCCGACGCATGCATCTCGGCCGATTGGTTAATGGGGGCGCTCCTTCCCGCCTCCAGTGTGTTGAATCCTCCACGTGATGGTTCAGCTGGAGGTACGTACTCTCCTCTTCCACTCCTGTGTTCAAGCCTTTCCTTCATCAATTTGAGGCCTTCAACCAATTGCCATGAACCGTCAACTAACAAAGGCCTCAATGTTCAGACCCCCAACTGGTTACCTGCGAAAATGGTTGTTCATGGCTCCTCTGGGATGTCGCAACAAAAGGAATCCTCCCCGACATTCCGTCGGTTCGTCGGTTTGACTCTTCAGCCAATGTATCAACTACCAAAGGCTGCTTCGTTGATCATGGAAGCTGAAACTACAATTCTTTCGGGACTGGTGATGTCATTCTCATGGTTTGAACAGTGTCTTTGTTTCTTGTCTTGTCAGAGGTTGAACAGCAGAATAACATGGAAATATAACAGTAGGTTCTGGTGAACACTCCAAAGAAGGACTAACAGCTTTGTTCTGCCAAGCAACACCATTCGCATTGTTATGCAGCTCATATAAATTCAGTCCCATCTTTCGTTCCCGTCCTGCGCGACTCGCCCACAGATCCTTCGTCCTCCCACTTTCGCTCAACACACAGCACAGGACATCTCTCATCCCGTCAACTATGGACGACGAAGCTCCTACCGCTGGCCAGGTGGTTAGTCTCGTCGTAATCTGCTTCCTCCTCGCACCGCGCCTCTTGCGGCTTATCGGGACTCTGATTGGAGACATCGCAAGATCCTCCATCCGGGGCCGCGTGCCACCCGTACACAGAGTAACTCATACCCCCCGGGACTGTTCTGTCATCGTTCCGATCACGAACCCAGACAGCACAGACCTCGAGTGTTGTCTCCGTTCCATCTTGAAAAACAATCCCTTGTATCTTTATATCGTCACTGTCGGCATTGAAGATCGGGATCGCCTGGAAAGACGCCTAAACCATCTGCGCAAAGAGTTTCCCCTGATACATATCACCGTCGGCGCTGTCAAAAGACGCAGCAAGCGTCGTCAGATCGCACACGCCATAAAGAGCGTCACTACCCAGATCACCGTAATCGTGGACGACAATGTGATTTGGCCACCCGGGTTTCTAGGAGGGGCATTGGGTCCTTTTGAGCATCCCGTGTTGAACTGCATCACGGTACCCAAGTGTGTGCGAGCACCTCTCTGCGACTCCTTCTCGACCAGTTGCTGGAAACGGTTGGCCAACTTTCAGTATGCTTACTTGCATCTCCAGAATCGAGTCGCAACCGCATACGATTTCTCGGCAATCCCTTTAGGGTCGACTGTGCTGTATCGCACTTACGCTCTCGATCAGGTTTTGGATGAGTATGAGACGGAGCACTGCTACTTTGGAAGAATCGGCGCACTCACGGCAGATGAGCACAGCTTCTATAACCTATACCTTCTTCAGCATGACGACCGCTTCAACGTCCCTTTTACCCCTGGAACGTCCATCGAGGTCTGCATCTACTCCTTTTCTGACTTCATCGCCGATTGCGAACGTCATATCAGAAGTACATGGCGTATCAGCGCCAACATGCTCACCTCCCAACAGTGCCTCCGCTATCCATGGGGTCTCTATGCAACATGGCTCTCTGAGCTTGCTTCGTTCACGCTGATCTGGGATGCCATCATTATTTCCTTGTTTTTTTGTACGTATTTTTACGCACAGAATCACCTCAGCGTGTGCTGGTTTCTTCTAGGTTTGTTTGGCATGAAGTTGGTGGAGGCCATCATGACCATGATCCACATGGACTTTAGATACTGCGACTTCTTGGGTATCCTTCCTCTCCTTATCGTCCTCATTCCATGCCATTACATCTACACCATCCTCAAGATCAAGGCTCTCCTCACCTACCAACACATCGAGCATGCCGAATACAAAAAGCTTGACAGGGAGCGGGACAAGTCGAACGAACCAACTTGGCTTATTGGTGGTGACTCTGTGCTCAGGGGGCCCCCGAAACGCCAGTATCGTGGACTGAAGAATGCTAGTTTTATTAAAAAGCAGAAGACTGTTAGACAAGTGTGATGTGGTTAGGCGACGGACACAGTTACATACTTGATCTCATTTTACATCTACCTAGACAATCATAAATTTACACGTATATCGATACAAGGGAGCCTCTAGAGTCACTAGAAGCACATATTGAATGATTAATAGTGAAAGCCCATCGAAGAATCCAAGTTATGCCCAGTCGTGGATACATAAAGGCAAGTCGAGAGTGTAGGGTAAGATTCCCTGCCCAGGGGTGAGCTATTCGACAAGGAGATGGTTATGCGTTTTCGATCAGAGTCTATGTGTGATTCTTAATAAAAGAGTACCTATTTGTTGATTATCATTTGGAAATTTTACTACCTGGTTCACGAGTTCAAGGTTCATTGCTTGAAGCCCTGGACTCAGGAGTTTTACTTGCTTAATCAAATTGCTACGTAGCACAAGAGTCAGCTAAGTAGAGAAAAAGACAAAAAGAATTAAATGAGGCATTTCCATGCGTATTAAAATCCAAGCCAGAAGCATAAAGCTTATTCAATTTAATTGTACATTGTTGTAACCGTCGGGTCAAACTAAACCGTGGGTATGCCTGCAGCCAGGGGAAGCCATCATCAAAGCGAGAGCAGTGCCACACAACAGTAGGCATTAAAGATACATGATAAATTGTGACAAGACTATGAGTAAATCAAGTCACATAGATCGTTGAATAATTGAAAATACCCAGAAAGAATCGTTCAAGAGTGTAACCGGGTAGTTGCTGGCAAAGGGTGGCAAAGGCCCAACTCCTTCCTCATGAATCAGTCACTCTGCCAGTGGGTCCCGGCTATCACGGCATTGCCCCAGATCCTTCGAGATCCAAAGGAATCTTTCTCGAGCGTCAGACTGGGGAAGAGAGGGGGGACGTTCCCCGTGGGGATAGTTTCATGGAGACGCCCTGTGCTTGTGGCACATGGGGAAGTCTGGAACTCGGGTGATGTGAGCTGTGGGACTGGAGATCCATGTCATCATTTGAAAGATATAGATAATCACGAGATTCGTGAGTGATCGAAGCCAGATATCGCTTTGGGGAGGAGTTCTGTGGGAGTGTTTACTGGCATGAAGCGAGGTTAAGGGGGATTTGAGGGGGACGGCTGAGGCTGATGAATACCACTCAAACTTCATTTTAATGTGTGATTCACTTCAAAAACCCTCTTCGAGGAAATCACATTTTTACGGAAGATATTTGAGAGTTGTGGGCGAGTGTGTCGAGGGCTTGTCTGGTTGAGAGCTCGGGTTGAAACGCCGTGCTCTACCAGTCAGGGGCTATTTACTCGGGACACAGAAATCAATGCAGAAAAGGGTCTGCGGTATTTACGATGAGACACGGTCTCAGGAAACGCGAGATTCTTTCGTCTGTCCTCGCAGCACCTGCGTTCGCTTTCGAATAATGTAAACACCACCTCGTCATCGGCAGTTGTATCCTCTAGAGCTGGATGTATGCTTTCGGTTCGTTTGTCGATATGCTAACAAGGAAAGGCTTGTCGTGAAGAGGATTTCTGTTCATATCTAACCGGTTGGGGACCCTAATAGGGGTATTCCTGAATGTTAACGGCAGCGAGTTCCGACTTTTGGGCGTTTAGACGCACGCATCGAACGATGTATGATGTATGATGCGGAGCCGCAGCTGTACATTCCCTACAGTGAGACAAAATGGTTGACGATGCTGCTTTGGTGGTTTCGACGGTGAACTGTTTCGGCAAGTAAGGGGCACGGTCTCGACTTTTAAAGATCTGGAAGCAGGGCTATGCCTTCTGACGAGGCATTCCCTGCGAGTAGGCGTGGATTCATGTCGTTCAAGGATGTTTCTCAAGAGTAACAAGACCTGTGGACATGGTCACTGTCAGTGGTCGCCATGTTGTAATTGTCGTGAGGCTTCCAGTCGTGAGAGTGAGGCCCCCTGAGTAGGCTCTGACTCCAAGGGGCTATGACTACTCGTGGGACATGGCACGTATAACGGTCAGACACAGTAAGATGTGTAGAACCATAACCGAGGATAAGTTGCTGGTGATGTGACAAATGATCGACGTGAGTCCACCAATATTGATGCCACGACTCAGGAACTCGCCTCCCGTCACGTCACATCTCGATATCAACGAAATGGTTCAACAACACTCTAGACTAGCACTCGGAGGAAAGGAAGTTGCCTAAATCGGAGACGGAAGTAAATCTCAGTTTTGACCAAAGATTCCCTGCCCCATCATGGAAATCAAGAAGGGGGTTGTTGGGCTCTGGCGAACCGAGGTCAACAACCTGACCGTCTCTCTGGGATCGTGACGGACGGACATCTCGGCCGGAGAGGGCTCGGAGAGCGAAATGTGCCGTAAGAAAGGACTTTGCTAGCTGCCTGGTCCACGTCTTGAACCAACGGTCAGGGGGTAGTGGTGGAACACCGAGATAACGAATGCCCACTGGCTTGCAAACGAGCATTGACGAACAAGTTGTGACCTGACCACAGCCATGGCAAGCATTGGAACTGCCAGCATGATCCTGCCAGATCGTTTACTGTGGTGCATCTTTGATGCTACGACCACCATCTTTGACAATGTTTCTCTCTCAATCTTTGCCAGCCTGAAGCATCAACAAGCAGGCTCAACTCCCGACGAGTTCACTTGATCACCTTGACGCATGTAACGCTCAAGGTTCAAAGTGGTTCCGGGCATTAAAGTCCGTCAGGCGTTCACACTCTAGGACGTGTCGATAGCGATGTCGCATCGTCGAGACCCGGCGGCGGTGGCTTGTCAAAGCTGGAAAGCGCTAGAGGCCGGCATGCGCGTGGTATTGGGCGATCGGATCCCTGAGGTTGGCCTCTAGCCTCTTGGCCTCGCGGCTCTTTTCTCTTGGCTGGCGTAAGTTGCGAGACAAGGTGGCTTGTGCTTTTTCGGCCTGTGCTTGTTTTGGAGCAGGGTTTTGAGCAGTTGGAGAAAGCCGTGATCCGAGATTCAATTTCATCATGGCCAGGGGGGTCGCTGTTGATAGCGTGAGAGGACGATTGTTTGATTGAAGCGTTCTCTTGCTGCTGAGTTCAATGTCCTTTGCCATCGAGAGTCTCTTGTGTTGGGGTTTGGGGAGTCCTGCAACCGTCATTTTGCATCCACCCAGCGCCATGCGGGCTAATATTGGTAGCAGTAGCAGCAGCGAACCCCAAGCGGTCATGGCAACGGAGGTCTCTCGGAGAACGCGATAGGTGACGGTTCCGCAAGCGGAATCTGGTGAGACAGAGAGATAACGACAGGCGGAGCCTCGCTCATACGATCATGGATTGCGTGTGGGACCGTCAAGTCTCGGAGTTCCACGTCCCAAGCAGGGACATACGTACGTAGCGACATTTTTTGATGATGATGATGATGGGGGGCCAAGTTTTTTTTCATTGTGGTCTCTTTCTCCGCCGAAGCCGGCCACGATCGCGGTCCCATTAGCTAAAAAGGGGATCGTTCTAGCGCTGAAGGCAAGACCGATGGAATGAAGAGGCTCAGTTGTTTTTGTTTGAAGATTCACAACATGAAAGATGGAACCAATTTCGTGGTTTGAAAAGAAAGACAGCGGCGAGGAGCAATTTGGTGAGGGGACACGAGCTGAGGGGATGAGCTGGCTGGGATCCCATGAGGGGAGGCTTGGTGAGGAGTAGACATCCATTGGAGGCCAGGCACTGACTGTGCCTCCTTCCCTCCTTAAGCGAAGCGAAAGGACTGTTGGGGTCACTCTACGGCAGGCGCAATGGGCAATGGGGCGTGGCGTCACCGTGTTCCTGCACCCGGCTGCAGTGAATCGCTCTTGCCCAGGGTGTCCGGTCCTAGTGCTAAATTTGCTGGGCGCCGGGTGTTCCTGCCGTCTAGGAAAACCCTTGCAGGCAATGTTTCTGGAAAACAGCCTGAAGGCAGCTGATGCGCGCTGCTGCAGCCCACCCGCCTCAGAGAGACCAGGCACCTCGAGAGTGGGCTGTTGCAGGATTTGTATGCGCGCCACAAGCAAGTGCCCGTCCCCTTTCCCTTTCCTTAGTAAGGGCGGCTGCAGAGATTGACGCTAACTGAGTCAACATCTGGTTCGTCCCGTTTTTAACATTTTCTCATCAATCCCCGATCCCATTCCCGGGAACTCAAACCAAACCAGGGTAACAAGACGTACGTCTTGTTTTTGGAGAATTTGACGGACTTGGACCGAACACGCCCCCTCTCTACTCGGCCATTCGGTCTTGACGAGGGGGGGAAGAAGCCAATCATGATGATCAAGGTCCCGCTGCCACTGTCCCTCTCTTTCGGTTGATCCAATCGCCACCAGAGGCGGTTGGTCCGATGTGGCATGCCCTGTTCAAGAACAAGGATGATGCAAAAGAGCCTCTTCCTGCCAAGCCACGGATGCCGGACACTTCCACCGCCCACCCTTGTCTAGTGTCGAGTGACGACCCAGGTCTGCTCTTCGATGCGGCCCTACGACGGCTCCGTCTTCGGTTATGTCTTGCTAGATCCATCTCTCGAATGCCGACGGATAACCGAGGATAAGTCTCGAGATGCTGTGATTTGGTTTTACTCATTAGCCGGGCTGTCCGCCGACGATTTGGGGGTGTTTGAGAGAGCAGGTGAATGAGGCTCTTTGAACGCCTCTTCTCGTTTTCACTCTTGGCAGCAGCAGAGACTACGATCGGGGGCAGACGCCAATACCGGCATTGCTTGGGCTTGGCTGGCCGTGCCGTGATGCGACAAGAGGTCTTCGGACGAACAGGCCTGGGTCTAATGAGTGATGGTGTTGAACGCCACCCATGCAATTTGGCTGCCGGATGTTGCGCCTCGAAAGAGGTCAACTCAGGCGCAATTTCACGGTTGGAGTTGAAGAGTTGGAGTAGGAGGTGGTCGATGCTTGTGTCGGACGAGAGAAACATGGCATGGCATGGCGCATACTTTTGACGGGTCACTGTGGTTGACTTGGTTTTGGGTGCCTGAACCCCGCGGCTGGTGACCAGGGACTTCTCCAACTCGTCGGTGAGGAGAACCCTCCAAGCGTGT